CGACGAAGAAGAGGATGATGACGACGACGACGAAGAGGATGATGACGACGACGACGACGAAGAGGATGATGACGACGACGACGACGAAGAGGATGATGACGACGACGACGAAGAAAGAAGAGGATGATGACGACGATGACGAAGAGGATGATGACGACGACGACGAAGAGGATGATGACGACGACGACGAAGAGGATGATGACGACGACGACGACGAGGATGATGACGACGACGACGACGAAGAAGAGGATGATGACGACGACGACGACGACGAAGAGGATGATGACGACGACGACGAAGAAGAGGATGATGACGACGATGATGAAGAAGGAAGTAGTAGTAGTAGTAGTAGTAGAAGAAGAAGAAGAATGAAAAATAAAAGGAATTCCAGTCCGGCAAAAAGTGTCTCTGCAGAGAGCTCCGCTATTTCTTTGACAGTTCCTTGACATTTACAGAGGTTGCAACATTGTATCTATTTGTTTCCGAATAAAACCATCTGTATCCTAAATGGAAACAAATAGATACAATGTTGCAACCGCTGTAAATGTCAAGGAACTGTCAGAGAACTGTCAGAAATAGAGGAGCTCTCTGCAGGGACACTTTTTGCCGGCTGTAGAACGGGATGAAAATCGGCCGATTTTTTTTACCATTGGTGGTAACGTCGGCCACTTGAACGACCGATTGTTTTGTTTTTTTAAAAGAAAAATCGGCCCAATTTTCGACCCATCTATGGCCTGCATTAGGGTCTCCATGGCCGACCCACTTCCTCAAAGTGGCAGGGAGCGCACGTAGATACCGGTCCATGACCACAACGCTCCACAACCTGAGGGGCTGACAATACCTCTGGCTGTAGCCACTTCCTGGTGAGATGTATCAAGTCAAACATGTGGGAGCGGGGTGGCTTGCCAGTATTATACTGCCACTGATGCATGCATTGAGCTCGGACTGCAATATTGACCCCCAGTGTGCAAGGACCTCAGCCTTCAGTTTTCTCATAATCCTGGGCAGCATCTGGTTCCAGGTCATAATAGGCTTTTTGGCTTTCACCTGTCAAAAATGGTGCAAGTAGTCCCCCGCCCATTGTTCTTTTTGCCATCCTTCCCAAACAGCAACTCTTTCAAAAGTGGGGAGGTAGGCTTCCACATCATCTGCAGGCATCAATTTTTGCAAAAAAATAGCTGGCCGGCACCATTTTCTGTTCCACTGGCAGCGGATCTGCAGACTCCTTTAATTCCAATAGGTGTTTGGACCACCTCCTTAAGGAGCTCTCGGTCTGCTTGTTGGGCTTCCGCAAACTGGCGATTCGCCTCCCGTTGTGCTGCATTGGCCTGCAGCAAGGCTCTTACCACTTCCTCCATCTTCCCCACTTGCTCAGGAAGTTGCTAAATCCACCATATGTGGGGTTAGCTCAGGTGGGGGATCTCCTTCCCTGGGAAAAAGGTAGACCGCACAGCAGGCTTTCTTCAAAATCTGACTGGTTGTCAGTTTTATTTAAAAGGTTTGCAAAATATCAAAACAAACAAAACATCAAAATAAACCCTCACCATCCAGGCACTAACTAAACATAGAACGTTTTCCTCTCTCACCGGTGAAGGGCTTCTCCCCGTCACCAACCAAAACAAAACCATAAGCAAACCTTTTCTCTTGTTTGTATAACAATCACTTTCAAGCACAGCTCTCTAAGGAATGAATCCTTGAATCCCAGGCCAAGAGCGACTCTTTGCTCCAGCCCTGCCTTATTAATAGCACCTGCTGGTGGTCATCAGTGGACCACAAAATCAGGTCCGGAACCACCTCTGCCATAATGGCCTAGAAAACCCGGAGTGGTTTTCACCTTAAACTCCCAAGTATGACCGAATGCGGGTGACACTTAGTGTCCATCGATCACCTCGCCGTTCATACTGTCACAATATATATACATAACATATATCACCAACAGAGAACCCAAGCAGAAAGTGTCCCTTTCACAAGAAGCCCCACCCGTTGCTAAAGTGCAGAGGTTTCAGAGAAAAAACTCTCCAAGATCGCAAAACCTTCCTCAAAGAAAAACAGAATTTGCTACAGGTGCTGTGCATCAACTTCGCACCTTGCAAAGAACTGCAAAGAAGGCATAAACTGTTTAGAGTGTGACAGCACAGAGAACAATACGGCTCTCCATCCAGGGCCAGCAAGATGACTCTTACCCCCTGGGGAGCAGTGACACACAGTACCTCCTGTATTGATACCCAATGCACCCAAGTCTGCGGAGAAGGTGTTTTTTGGCAAATCCTGCTCCAAGATTTGTCTTGTCACAGTTTACCCCATAGGTCACAGACAAAAAGGAGTAAAGCTGTACGCAATCTTGGATGATCAAAGCAACAGATCACTTGCTAGCTCAGCCTTCTTCGATACCTTTAAAATCGAGGGAGCAAGCTCTTCATACTCACTCAAGACGTGTACGGGCACGAGTGAAGAAACTGGGATAAGGGCCATTGGTTACCAGATCGAATCTATGGATGGCCAAACATCCCTGCCTTTACCAACCTTAATCGAGTGCAATCCGTTCCCAACTGAAAGAGGGGAGATCCCTACACCCGAGGTGACATTTCACCACAGACATCTTAAGAGCATGGCCCATCTCATCCCTAAGCTGGATCCCCAGGCTCAGATAGCGCTCCTGTTTGGGAGAGATATCATCAGAGTTATCATCACCTTCACAGCGCATGCATCCGGGATGTCACTGTCTGCTGCCCCGCAGAATGACACCTAAACAGCGAACGTTTAGGAGATATTGGTTTTACCTACAGGTCAGCTTTATTATAGGCTTTATTTTAAGCTTTTACTACACCTTAAAGTGTGAGGATTGTGAATGATCATTGTTCATGAGGGGTCACAGGGCTCACCAGTCCTGTCCTATAAAGAAAATGGTATTTAGAATGGAGAAAACCCTTGTAGCTCTTCCATGACAGGTTCTTTTACAGCGGACTGACACCAATATTTATTTATTTCAGGTACTTATATAGCTGCGTCTGTTTATGCAGCACCTTACATATATATTGTACATTCCCATCACTCCCCTCCCCCGAGGAGCGTACAATCTAAGGTCCCTAACTCACATTCATACACATACTTGGACAATTTAGACGAGAGCCAATTAACCTCCCAGCATGTCTTTGGAGTGTGGGAGGAAACCAGAGTACCCGGAGGAAACCCACACAGGCGCAGAGAGAACATGCAAACATGCATACACAAATGATAAAATGTTACAATTAATTTCCATTTCTGAGCTCAGGGCATAACATTACTGCATTGATATATAGCATTTAGAGATGAGCGAAGTATTCAAAAATTCGATTCGACTGATTCGGCGAATTCGTGGAAAAATTTTGATTCGAGTCGAATATATTCGCTGTGAATTTAACTTAAAAAAGGGTGTTTTTCTAGGCTTCAGAGAGACTTAAATATTAGTGCTGAACACTGTACCTTTAATTTAAATGCCCTTGGAGTCTGCTGGGGAAGAGAAATAATACTGTCAGTCAGTATGACATGCAGATGAGTGCCGTCGATCTTAGAATCACCGCACACTTCACTCATTTGGGCAGTCACGGGCCAAAACCAGAGTGTGGAGCCACAGTGTGGCGGTGGAGGCAGCAGCAATGGGAGGCCATACAGCAACCTATGACAAAATGGAAAACCAGCAGGAGTGTGAGGAGACCTCAAAGTGGCACATGGCAGAGTGTGGCGATAGAGACAGCAGCAATGGGAGGCCGTACAGGGACCCATGACACACTCTGGACCTGGCAGCAGCATGAGGAGGCGGTACAGGGGCCCATGGCAGATTACGGGCCTGGCAGCAGCATGAGGAGTCGGTACGGGGGCCCATGGCAGATTACGGGCCTGGCCAGCAGCAATGGGAGGCCGTACAGGGACCCATGACACAATCTGGACCTGGCAGCAGCATGGGGAGGCGGTACAGGGGCCCATGACAGATTACAGGCCTGGCAGCAGCATTTGGAGTCGGTACGGGGGCCCATGACACACTCTGGACCTGGCAGCAGCATGAGGAGGCGGTACAGGGGCGCATGACAGATTACGAGCCTGGCAGCAGCAACTTGGACAGGAGGACGTTCAGCTTCTGCACCCGGGTGCGTGCTCGCAAACTGTTGTCTCTTGGAAACGGATTCCAAGAAAGACTGCTGACGGAATCCGTGAAGAGGAGTAGCAGGAGAAGGAGCATCTGAACGAGCGGAATATGCCAACAAGCAACAACAGGGGCCCATGACAGATTACGGGCCTGGCAGCAGCATGAGGAGTCGGTACGGGGGCCCATGGCAGATTAGGGGCCTGGCAGCAGCTATGGGAGGCCCGTAATCTGCCAGCACCCTATGACAAAAAATGGAACCCACCAGCAGTGTGAGGAGACCTGAAAGTGGCACATGGCAGAGTGTGGCGATGGAGACAGCAGCAATGGGAGGCCGTACAGGGACCCATGAGAGACTCTGGACCTGGCAGCAGCATGAGGAGGCGGTATAGGGGCCCATGGCAGATTAGGGGCCTGGCAGCAGCTATGGAGGCCCGTAATCTGCCAGCACCCTATGACAAAAAAATGGAATACACCAGCAGTGTGAGGAGACCTGAAAGTGGCACATGGCAGAGTGTGGCGATGGAGACAGCAGCAATGGGAGGCCGTACAGGGACCCATGAGAGACTCTGGACTTGGCAGCAGCATGAGGAGGCGGTATAGGGGCCCATGGCAGATTAGGGGCCTGGCAGCAGCTATGGGAGGCCCGTAATCTGCCAGCACCCTATGACAAAAAATGGAACCCACCAGCTGTGTGAGGAGACCTGAAAGTGGCACATGGCAGAGTGTGGCGATGGAGACAGCAGCAAGGGAGGCCGTACAGGGGACCCATGAGAGACTCTGGACCTGGCAGCAGCATGAGGAGGCGGTATAGGGGCCCATGGCAGATTAGGGGCCTGGCAGCAGCTATGGGAGGCCCGTAATCTGCCAGCACCCTATGACAAAAAATGGAATACACCAGCAGTGTGAGGAGAACCTGAAAGTGGCACATGGCAGAGTGTGGCGATGGAGACAGCTTTAGCAATGGGAGGCCGTACAGGGACACCCATGAGAGACTCTGAGACTGGCAGCAGCATGAGGAGGCGGTATAGGGGCCCATGGCAGATTAGGGGCCTGCAGCAGCTATGGGAGGCCCGTAATCTGCCAGCACCCTATGGACAAAAAAGGTAACCACCAGGCAGTGTGAGGAGACCTGAAAGTAGGGCACATGTTTGGGGCTCACAAACGTCAGTCTCTCCACACTTTGGGTCTGACAGTCGTTGTCAATGCCGAGGCAAAGTTGCAATACCTTCCAACATCCACATGACAACACTGCGAAACCCACCAACGTCTAAGTGGTATCGTCTGTCTGAACGAGCTCCTCAAGGGCAAATTCTAGCTACCAAGGATGTCTAGTTTCGGTTTGCACCTCCCAGAAGTCCGCTGGACGATGGAGACAAAACCTACCCATGCGAGGGTGCTGTCCAGTAGGCATTCCATGAGACACCAGTGTCCCCCTCTACCTTGTCGTCCTGCTTCCAGTACCAGCCTGACAGCTAGAGGCATGTGGCGTTAGAGATCCTGTGCGCCAGCGTCTACCACCGCACCCTGACCAGCCATTGTTAACCAGCATATTGGTTCGCAGGGACAGTGCAACATGAGAGAAATAAATCGTCATTCATACTTCCCATAGTCCTGCCTTACTTCACGAATCAGCGTTGCCTTCCACACAGCAGGAGCCCTGAGCAGAGTCGGCAGGTAGTCACCCGTAATCTGCACTTAGCGTTCCACCCGACTAGACATCTAAGTGGAAACACATGGAGTAGTGGTGAGGAGACCTCTTTGTAACAGCATGAACTCTGGTTGATATCATCGTGCCTTGTCGCTGTATCGAATAAAGCAGCAATGGTAGGGTCGTAACAGGGATATGTATGGTTAGACATTCCACCTACTGGAACCTGGCAACGTCACAAGCATGGAGGCAGTACTCGGTGTACGGGAGGCCCCATGGCATTAATAACGGGCCTGTGCAGCAAAGCAAATGAGATGGCCCGTAATCTAAGCCATAGCAGCCCTTTATATGAAAAATCAATGGAACACAACACCAGCAAGTGTGACGGAGACACCTGACAAAGTTGCACATAGGGCATAAGCGTACGGCGATGGAGAGACCTCATGCAATAGGTAGGCCAGTACAGTGAACCCAGATGTACACAGCTCTGGAACTTCAGGAGCAGACAGCAATCTGATTAGGAGGCGGGTACCACGCGGGCCCATGGCAGATTAACGGGGCCAGGCAGCAGCGCAGCAATGAGGCAGTCGATTGGGTTTACACGTAGGGTCCCATGTAATTACGGGCCTCGGCAGCAGTAATGGGCAGCCCTGATAAATCCCTGACCACACCCAAAATGACAAACATAGCGGAACCCACCATCAGTGGTGAGGAGAACCTGGAAAGTAGGCACAAGGCCAGAGTATAAGGCGAAGGAGAGACAGCAGCAATTGCGTAGGCGCGTGACATTAGGACCCATAGAGACTCACTCTGGCCCTGGCAGGCAGCCTGAAGGAGAGGCTTAACGAATACAGTGAGCACATCGTCAGTATTACACGGGGCCTAGGCATTGAATCAAGAACAATGGAGAATAGACGCACGAAATCTTCACAACACCACTTGGATGAACTAAAAATGGAACCCAACCATACAATGTATGATAGAGGACCCTAGAACAGTCTGAGCACATGGCAGAATTGTGGCGATGTGGAACAGCACAGCAAAAGTGGATGCCGTACATGGAGCCCATGATAACACTTGTGGACCTGGCAAAGCAGTCCTATGATTAGGTCGGTAAACAGTGGCCCAATGTTGCAGAATATACGCGGCCTCGCAGCATCAAATGGGAAGGCCGAAATCATGCCAGTCACACCTATGACAAAATGCGAACATCACCAGCCAGCAAAAAAAGTGAGGAGACCTGAAAGTGCACTGGCAAAGGGGGGGTGGGGGAAAAAGGGGGGGGGACCCTGAAAGCTGGGGACTGAGAGGCGGTATAGGGGCCCCGGGAGTTGGGGCCTGGCAGCGCTTGGAGGCCCGTTTGCCGCACCCTTGTCAAAAAAATTAAAAACACCGCGGTGGGGGAGACCTGAAAGTGGCCAGGCAGAGTGTGGCGATGGAGACAGCAGCAATGGGAGGGCCCTTTTAGGGACCCCTGAAGACTTGGGCCTGGGCAGCATGAGG